CTAGATTTTTATTCCATTAAAGACGTTCCTCCACAAAAAAGTGTAACAGGTTAAGTATCAGGGTGGAAACTCATGACAAGGACAAAATGTGGAGTGATGTTTTTTGACCTCTTTCTCGCTCGCCGCCTTATTACAATAGAAACATAAGAGTTTTGTTGAGCAGGCAGTGACTAAATGGTTTGCATGCTTGTGGAACCTTTCACATTATTTGGACGCGATGGTGCCTTTCTTCTAGTGTTCCATATTTGGTACATCGAGTCGCAAAATGGTAACCAAAGCATGATATGCACAGTCCTTGACGTTGGACTCCACTTGGTTTTGGCAATGACGATAGCTGCTGTCTTTTCCTCTCTTTTTTCTCTTCCTTTTCCCTTTTCACATAGGCTTCCATTTTTTTATTCCTTCTCTAAATTGCCTTCCTTCCCCTTCTGCCAGTAACGATTTTCCAGTTGCAGTTGGTTCGTGTGAAACTGCGTTGCATGCTGAAGTGGGATGTATGACATAAAAAGTTTACATGTACTATTTGTCTTTTTTGAATTTCTCATTTTCTTTCATGTGTAACTGAAGAGGATCTTTTTCGGTTCTTAATACCACCTTCCACTGAAGAAAATATTTGTTTGTCTTCATTGCTAATATATTCCATTAAAATCCTTTTTATACCTTCTACTCGATTTGCAATCTATAATTCACCACGATCGTAGTTATTTTTTCTTCCAAATTTTCCAATCTTGCGTTTATCCTGATTAGTTCCGCTCTATTTCCAATTGTTAAATGCAGATCTTCTGGTTCCTGCCTTCTTCCCGCGTTTACTAGCACCCTTTCATTCCCGATATTCTCGAAGTGGTCTTCCATCACTTCGTCTGAATTGGGCGGTGGTCTTAGTGGTTTAAGTTCTTCTGGTGAAGGAGCATTGTGCTCTCTTTGTTGATTCGTCAGCAAAATTTGTTTTCAGCAAACTACTCTTTCGTTTAGTATTCACAATAATGCGATAGTCAAAGGATGAAGTTTCATTAGCAAAAATTTCCCAAGTGCTATGACTATTTGTTCATTTATTTGTTTGTTTATATGTCACGCACAAGGCGTGTTAACAAGAACAGACAAAGAAAGAACTTTGAAACACGTTCAGAGAAAAGAAACAAAAAACATCCATCAAGCAGCTCAAGTCCAGCTCCCAAGAATATAAGCTGTATAAAGCATTAATATTAGGTTGACCGGAAAATAATGTCGCATTGCATCCTACTGCAACAAAGTTATCACGAAAAGCAGTGAATGGGGTAACACCTGATAGAGCAAAGCAAGCTCTACAAGATGGAATACAAACTCTTGCGGAAACTTTGTTCCACCT